GACTTGAGGTAGTAGTGGAAGGACATTTTTCAGAAATGATACTGTCATGGCACAACTATCCCACGTGGCTTTCCTGCAGCCAAGGAGCACCTGAGCGGCCACCATCCCTTTATTCTAGCGCCATCTGCTGTAACCCTCCGATATCGCAGCTACAGTTGCACTGCGCATGTGCGTCACCATACAATTAGGAACAGGTGGGCGACGAAATGTTTGAAGGAAATAAGGACCTTCTATTTTCCCCTTTATCGCAAGGTTTTGCTTTCCAGTTACTGTCCGCGTGTTCAATGTCTGCGAATGAAGCACCGCTAAAGAGTGTCGGACCACTGAGAGCCAGCTGGTCAAGGAGGCAACAGGCAAGCAACAGGTAAGTCCGTAGGTAGCTGGAGATTTACATATGCACGGGCAGCCAAACCCTGGAAGCCCGAAACACAAGTGTTAGTACCCAAAGTATCATCAGCTCCAAGTTTATGTTGTGATGAATTTACCTTGTATTTTACAAACAATTCACAAAACTACAATTTATTTCAGTGAAATTTTACGTTAATTGCTTACGTCGTCGCGTTAGAGGGATAATCCAATGATATGCAAGGTCATGGTCACATGACTACCTTTTCTTTCCAATCCCAGTTTTACAAATCGGGGAAAGGTCGTGTCATCTAGTTGAGGCAGGTTTGACGCAGCTAAAACATATCCTGAATGAGAAAGGAGATGTAAATGAGGAAAGAGTGTTCAAAACCTTAAGAAAAAGGCATTTTATACAGAAAACAACATACTCACCGTGTGTGAAAATGTCGTATTGAGTTTGTCCCCTAAGTGGAGAGAGCTGCTCAAGCAGCAGGTGTGTAAGGTGCAGAATAACTCTCTGAAGTGCCTTCTAGTTACAGATAGTCAATCCAAAGATATAACAGAAATCAAAACAAAGCACTGGTACAAACTCCAAATAACAAAAAAAAAAAAATCAGAAGGCTGACTTCTGAAAAAGCTTGGGGGAAAATCTTTCCCACCTACAACTCAAATGCAAAAATCTTCAACACAGACTTCAAAATCAGGCACAGAAGGATTTTCACAAGCGTTATTCTGCATCAGATAAACAAAAAATGTATACGAAAGAGATTGTAAGGTATGCGGAATGTTTCCAGAGGACCTAGAGCACATCTTTCTGCAATGTCCAAGGCTCAGAGCCTTGCTGAATGAGAAATGTAACATGGGGATTAATGAAGACTGACACGGAGTGGAACTGGATCACGCTTTTTGGGCTGATAGACAAAAACGTTCCACTCATTAACATTCTGCTGGCATTTGCCAGGCATGCCACTCTTTGTTGACAGCAAGGACTCTATGGACACACTGCTTTTCACAAAGGCAACCATTTGTAAAAAACACACCAGAAAACACATTGAGCTTTTGTCTGGAATGAATGAAGAAGAGGGATGGGGAGGGGACTTATTATTTTATTCGTATTTTATTTGCTCGAAAAAAATTCTGTATTAAATTTGAAAATGTACTTGTTTGAAATATTTCAGTTTTTTGATTTCAGAAAATGCCTTTTGAGATTGTTTCCTCTTTACAAGATATTTTCTTTTGAAGTATCTTTACATTGTTTACTTGTTTTTTACAATGTAAATACTGTACCGAAAAGTCCAAACATGTATATTGAGTAATGTATATAACTTTTTATGTGTTACACCTGTATTAACGTAACATTGACAGAGCATGTTATCAAGGCAATTGCTTTTTCACCATAGCGAGTGTTTATTTGTGTTCCGGAAAATCTGCAGGTGCTCCCTCTTTAGGAAGACAAAATAGCAGAGCGTGCTGTTGGAGTGTCTTTAAAAGGCCCTTTAGTGGGATGTTTCTTCGCTTATGGCCATACCTCCCTGAACACGCCCGATCTCGTCTGATCTCGGAAGCTAAGCAGGGCCTGGTCAGTACTTGGATGGGAGACTGCCTGGGAATACCAGGTGCTGTAAGCTTTTTTTACACTCTTTGCAGAGGGCGATGCTGCTTCTTCAGTGGACACCGACAGGCACACCCGAAAAGCAGTACGGCAATGTACACACAATGGAAGTGGTCCTGGTCAATGGATTACAAATACTCTGTAAAGAGTACATCCTGACCTGCTACTTTTTAATATTGTTTATTTCAAAAATGACGATAAACTCACAATTTATTTTTTATTTTTTGTGAGTTACACCTGTATTAACGTAACATTGACAGAGCATGTTATCAATGGCAATTGCTTTTTCACCATAGCGAGTGTGTTTGTTTGTGTTCCGGAAAATCTGCAGGTGCTCCGTCTGTAGGAAGACAAAAGAGCAGAGCGTGCTGTTGGAGTGTCTTTAAAAGGCCCTTTAGTGGGATGTTTCTTCGCTTACGGCCATACCTCTCTGATTGTTTCTGAGCAGAGTGCATTGTGGGTCCACACGGCTGAAGTGAGTCTCTGAGGAGACACCCCTTTTTTTTTTTTTTTTTTTTTTTTGCTCCCGCTTCTTTACTCTTTCCTCGTTTTTCTTACATGACCTAGTTGGTAGTTTGTTTGTTTGATTAAGTGTTCATTTCCAGTACCCCCGTCAGTGTTTCACTGTACGGGGGGGGAGTGTTTAGTCCGCACTTTTGGCGTGTTTTCCTCCTTTTACAATTGTTTGTTTAAGGAGCGCCTTTCTTTTTTTCAAGATGACTGATCCACCGGTACAACGGACCTGGCCTGGCTTACAGACGACCCCTACGGACACCCCCACGATGAATGGACAGATAGATACGACCCGGACCGGCCTGATGACTACCCACACGGAGATTCCCACACGGAGAACTAACAGAGATGTGAGCAGAGCAGGGATTGTTTGGCCCACGGCACCGGTTGGCAGCTGTCTTTTTTTTTTTTCTTTTTTTTTTTTTCATTCTGTGTTTTTCAATGTCCTGAGTGACAGTTTTGTTTGGAAAACGTATCTAGAACCCCCACCAGTGTTACACTGTTTGGGGGAAATTTATTTTTTCATTATTGACCCAACCCCCACTTTTATGAAAGGGGAGTTTTTTGTTTTATGATGACGGACCAATATGACAACCAGACACGGAACGGGAAAACGATAATGATGACTGACTGAAAAAGGTGACGGACAGCCTAAAATAAGGAGAGAACTTGGAGAAAATGATCGAGGAAAGAGAAAAATAATCAGAATTTGACTGGGTGTTGAGTTGGAGGGGGAGAACGCAATTGCCATGATGGAGCTTATGAACTGCATCATACACCTGTGCGGTGCCCTCATGGCCTGCCGGTTTTTTAGCGCAAATAAATACGAAGTCATGATGAGCCACCCGAAAGGAAAGGCGCGGCTTATGGATGGTTTCAAGATAGGGGAGACTAGTACGCATGCTAAGGAGATTAATAATGATGAAGTGGTGGTGTCTTTTCTTAACTTGCCGTACTACGTTGAAGATTCGGAGATTGAAGCCAAACTGCATGCGTGGGGAGTCTCGGCTGTCTCCCCTATCAAAAGACATTTGTGGCCGGGGACTAAGGTGACAGATGGCACGACATTTATGAGAGTGAAATTCAACGAGCACCTTCAATCACTTTTAGAAACACTAGAAAGATTAACTCAGTCTTGAATCAGAACGGTCTCACAGATGTCTTTTGCCTGCAAGAGACTAATTGGGATAAAAACTTGGTCAACTACACGCAGAAACAATGGACAGGGGCACTATACTCTATACTATACTTACTCACTATACTTCCCTAAATTAGTTAAATGGATAACGAATAATACGATTATAATGGGAGATTTTAATGTTACATTAAATGACAGTGATTTATCAATTAATAATACATTTTAAAAACGACAGTAGAGGGACGTTAAAGAATCTAATTTCAAGTAACAATCTTATAGACGCATGGCGGGTAGAGGCTTCTCGAGGCATCAATTTGTCCAGGGAAAACTAAAACAATCTCGTATAGATTTGGCACTTGTCGCCTCAGGCATGATTCAATATATAATAGATAAATATTATATTAAGATGCCCAATACCCTTTTCTATAGTATTCTTTGTTGTTGTTTCTCTAGACGGATCTCTCCTTCAAAAAAGTGAGAATTCGGCTGTGCAGGTTGTGACAGAGACCGATGAGAAGAACCAGCCGGCAGCATCCTCCAGGGAGATGGCGGGGGAGAACCTTGAGGAGTCGGAGGGAAGGGGAGAAGGAGAGTTCGGAGCCGAAGTCTGGCAAGATATTTGAAGGAGCCCAGCCTGAGGGACCATCGGTGTCGGAAGAGGGGAGCACCTGAGAGGGTGGAAGAAATGGAGGGAGGACAAGGTAGGAACTGTGCACAAGACAATGTGAAGTATGTGCGAAGGAGTTAGAGAAAGTGGATGGGAGATGTCACAGCCTGGCTCAGAAACTGGAACAACAGGGAGACAACGAGCTGGCGGCCAAAAGTAGTAATTTATTTGTCTCGCCAAAAACAAGTAACCCAAGGTTAACAGCACTTTACACAAAGACAGCCACAACTGTCGTAAGCCAGTCAACAAGATCTTCCTTTCCGAGAGACCCAGCTGCCAACTGGAGAGGGTATTTCATGGCAGAGCCACACTGGCACAGGTGTGGCTCATCCTGCTGACGAGCCTCCAATCGGCACCTGTAACAAAAGGAAACGCAACCGGGCACCTAGTGTATGATAGGAGGAGGGTCGTCACAGAGATGTGTATAATGGAGAAAATAATACCAGGGGAGTAGCTATTTTTGGTGAAAGGGGAGAAGTTGAGAATGTCATCCGAGAGGGAGGGAGAGATTGCTGGAGGGTTTCAAAATCGGGGAGACCAGAGTCCACACCAGGGAGCTAAACAACAACGAGCTGGTGGTGTCCTTCTTGAACCTGCCGTTCTACACAGAGGACAGGGACATCCTGGAGAAGCTGCCGGGCTGGGGAGAGTCGGCAGCCTCCCCGATCAGGAGAAGGATGTGGCCGGGAACTAAGGTAGCAGACGGAACAAGGTTTTTAAAAGTTGAATTTAATGACCAGGTCCAGTCCCTGCTTCGTTCTACTAAATTCAGTACAGCGCTAGGTGCGGAATACTTAAGAGTAATCCATGATAAGCAAACGAAAGTGTACATACAGTCGGGGCACATCCTCAGAGAATGGCCGGAATTTCTTTGCCATAAGTGTGGGGTGCAGGGACACTGTGCAAGGGAATGTGTGGGAAGGGGGAAAAAAATGCAGACTATGCTTAAATAATATGGAGGAATGCTTGTGTAATAAAAGTGAAAATGAAGGAGAAGGTACAAATAATGATTCTTTTGAAAAAAATGGGAAGAAGAAATGACCACAGAGGCTGGGCGAGCAAAATAAAATACTGGGTCCAAGCCCCAGGAAAAAGGAGAGAGAAAGCTGGTAAATAAGCCAGGAGGGAAAGGGGGAAAGAGCTATATTTAAAAAAAAAAAAAGGGCTGAAGCCCCGAATAATCCATCTGTAGTTGAGCAAGTAAGACCTTCGACCGTACCCGACACTGCGGCCACACTAGAGCCTGAAATAGGGCAAGGAAAATCGCCAAACCCGCTCCCCCAGACAACAGAAGGCTTGGACTATGAAATGGACATCACCAGGGTAAACGATGTATGGAAAAGGCAAAATAAAGAAAAACAAAGCAAAAAAAAATTCCCTCTTCATTATGCATATTACAGCTGCATTCCAATTAACCTCACTGAATGTGAACTGGCTCCAGAATTAAAGTAAAATACACTCGATCCTAAATCATATAAAAACAGAAATAATATGTCTACAAGAGACAAGATGGGATGTAAGCTGCAAAAATCATTTAACGCAGTGGGGGGTATAAATAACGGGACCAGTTCCTCGTGTGGAGTTGCGGTGTTTATGAAAGCAAATACCTTTAACAATGTAAAGGTAATATACAAAGATGATGGCGGAAGAAGAATAATAGTTGTGAGAGTCAAGGAAGAGAATATGGATTAATTAATATATATGTACCGAATAACTAATGTAAAAGGAGAGTTCTTTAAAGAAGTTAAGTAAATGCAATGTAAATACAATTATTATGAGCGACTTCAATATCGCTCATAATAATTGTAATGACCCTTTTAAAAATGATGCAAGCATAGAAATAATAAAGAAGGTAATGTTGTAGATACAAAACGCCGAAACAATGAGGTGACGATGCAAAAAATGACGGGAAAGGAGCGCCTCATGGATGGAGTAAAGATTAAACAGTCCAGGATTTTGGCCAGAGAGATACAAAATGCTGAATTTTCACTCAAAAAACGATTCAAGCCCTTCTTAGATGTAATGCATTTAAATTTTGTTTGCTTTGTTTAAATATATCTATTTAAACAATAAACATATGTATATTTAATATTAGTAACACAAAATGTTTTCATAGTTTCACTTATGAGACTTATTTAGGTTAGATGGTGGGTGTGTCAATGCAAAATAAATGTTTCATTAGAGACTACCCTTTGCGCATGTGCCAGATTTCACGCTCTTAGACGTCATTTTTGCTGACTGCAACAGGCTGCATCAAGATTGACCAACTCAGGCGAAAGTCCATTCTTTGGTGAGTAACTTTATTTATTTTGGTGTACTCTACCCCTGTCAAATAACGCTTGCATTCTGTAATATTACCGTAACCACAAATTGTGAAACTGCCTTGATAACATTAAGCCAGGCGAATTCTGCTGTAGTTTTAATGAAGTACGAATTGGCACTGCGCAAGCTAGGAACTCCGTGGTTAGTATTACGACCTGACATTCAACACACACAAAAACAGGAAATACAAGCTAAATTAATTAAATTACTTTAAAGCCAATGTCGTCAGTACAAACAGTTAGTTTCATCAGTCAGACAGTTTTGCAGTTGGGCCAACAGAGTCTGTGGATACAGATAATGAATATGAAACGCTAAGTCGTGGTGATGCTGCGGGGATACACCTGCCAAATTTGATTGAAGAGAAAATTGCTTGCATTTTATTGAAGTTGGAAAATATTGTTCACGTTCCAAAGGCAATTATTGATGAGGTCCTTTCTGAACTTCACTACATATTAAGTACAGAAGCTTTGCCTGTCACAAAAGCTATTGTTGCTGATGTATTCCAAAGTCATAAACTACAAGTGGAAGAGTCAGTAGTTGAAGAGCTTTCCACTGTTCTATGCAAATCTAATCCATTGGGAATAGCTATTGCAACGGATGGCCCTCTTGCTACTGCATATAAAACGTACACAGTACTATACTTCCAATTTTGATGTTTTAGAGCCGGTTGAGTAAATTCTACATGCCCAGAGGAATAGGACATATCAATACATCCCTCTATTACAATCTTTGCAACATTTGCTCTCTCATAAGGGTGTCATTGAACATCTTAAAACTCCAACAATACAAGACCAGCTATTGTCTTGTCCCCAAGAGTACAGAACCATAAGAGATGGTGAGTACTGTAAACAAAACTCTTTACTGTCAAGTGAAGGTTTAAGAATAGCAGTTAATCTTTATGTAGATGATTTTGAGATTTGTAACCCTCTTGGGACATCTCGGAAGAAGCACAAACTCTGTGGTCTCTACTGGGTTTTGGGCAATTTGCCACCAGGTTCCCATTCAACACTAAGCTCAATGTACTTAGCTGTTCTATCCAAATCTGATGATATCAAGGCCTATGGCTATGAGAAAGTGTTGGAGCCTCTCTTGCAAGACTTGAGTATATTAGAAGAGCACGGTGTCTTTATTTCTCAACTTGGTCAGTCTGTTAAAGGTTCTGTCCAGTGTGTAATAGCTGACACTCTTGGAGCCCATGGGATAGGTGGATTTGTTGAGTTTTTCTGCTGGGTCAATATGCAGGTTTTGTACTGGAGATAAATCGGAATTTCAGACTAAGGATGTCAAATCAGGTGCTTTCCAACTTAGAACAAGAGAAATCCATGATCTTCAAGTCCAGTCTGCTCAAGAGAATGCAACCATTTGCTGTGGTGTAAAAAAAGTGTTTTAACAGAGCACCTTTCGTATTTTCATGTTGGCACTGGTTATCCTCCTGACATTGTGCACGATCTCTTTGAGGGTGTTGTTCCAGTTGAACTTGCACGCTGTATTAGTCTATTGATCTCCAAAGAATTCTTCACTCTTGATGGCCTTAACACATTGATCCAGACATTGCCATACAAATGGGGGGACAAAACCAATTGCCCTCATGCCATACCACGTTCTTTCACATCTCGCAACACTATTGGTGGCAATGCACATGAAAATTGGACATTGCTAAGATTGCTTCCCTTTGTGATTGGGCAAATTTTGCCAGAAGAGGACCCAGCATGGCAGGTGATTCTAGATCTTAAGAACATAGTTGAGTTGGTTGTGACCCCTGTTCACACAGAAGAGACCATTGTGTATCTGGAGGCCAAGATCTATGATCACAGACAGCGCTATCTAGAACTCTTCCCACAAATTAAGCTCCTACCAAAACATCACTATTTAGAGCACTATACGCAAATGATTCGTTGCTTCGGACCTCTAATTGCACTTTGGACGATGAGATTTGAGGCTAAACATAGCTTCTTCAAGCAGGTTGCGCGTCATACTAATTGCTTTAAGAATATACCACGTTCAATAGCTATTAAACAACAGTTCATGCTTGCCTACCGCACACATTCCTCCAATCTCAAGAAGTCATCCTTGGAGGTCACAAATGTCTCAATCATGCCTGTTGACACTGAAGCAGAGATACCCAGATGTGACTGAGGTTCATATGGCAAAAAATGTGTCTTGCAGTGGTATATGTTACAGTGAGGGGATGCTTATTGTACACGGATCTGAAGATGAACTGCCTAAATTTCATAAGATCATTCATCTGTGCATTCTTAAGGAAAAGTTAGGTTTTCTCGTAAAAGATGTATGTTCTTGGAGCATTATGGTGGATTTGAGTTGTCTGCCTCAGCCACTGGAGAGATTGCCATAATTGAGCTTGGTGACTTGGTGGACCCATACCCCCTTGTGGAGTACATGGTTGGGGGTTTGAGGATGGTAATGTTGAAAAGATTCGTCATCATTAGGCCAAATAGTCTGAAAAATTCTCAAAAATTATATTTATTATCATCTCAAATATAACTAATATATTGGTTTCTCGTTTCTCCTGTAGATTAAAAGGCAGGTCCGGCTGTACTGCGGATCATCTTTGGTGATGAGTCTGACTCAAGAAAATTACCCTTGGATTCTGGAATTCCAGCAACGGTGGAAGAGCTGCATATGGTAATAAAGACACTTTCAATTGAAAGAGGACTTTCGTTTGCAATACATGGATGCTGACTTTAACAAGTTCATGAACCTTACTTCAGTGTCTGAAATTGAACATAAAAGCACACTGAAAGTAATTTACTCTCCTATATTGTCACCCGTGGAACCCTTTGTCATTTTGTACACAGTAGACCCATCAGGCCCAGAGCCTCAAACCCCTTCTTCATCAATAGCTTCATCCTGTAGCTGAATATAGCATAGAACACCTTAAAATATCAGACAGCCACTAGCTTTTAGACTGCATGTCTGCTATTGTGTTGCACTGACGGTTCATAAGATTTTGTATCATCTGCTTGTGTGATTACAGATACCGTCAGAAAGAATCATGTCTCACGTGCTGCCACAGATGAGATTCTGAAACACTCAATTAGGTGGTTCAACCTGGCAGCAGACAGGGGACGTTCCAGGAGACGGGCCACTGTCAGCATCCCTACTGACAAAGCCTAAACTTGTATGTTTTATACATGTAATGTTCTAAAATCCTTTTAAATGGATTTAATTTAATAAAAAATAACTGTTTTTGATACTATTAATGGTTACATTTCCTTTTTCCATTAATACCTATTCAATATATAGGCTGTAATGACCTCTTTTTAAAGATTTTATTAGATAGTCAGTATGGAGAGTTGGGATTAGAACCCAGGGAGCTGCTGAAAGGAATCTTTTTTTATATAGAGGATTTTATTGTTACTTGCAGAGTCCACTGTTGGATATAAATGCACAAGGGATTTTACACAAACTATGCATTTATGTTCTCCAGCGTAACTGTAGTTTTTAAGTCTTCAATAAATAAATCATTTTATTATTATTATAAAGAGTATTCACACTTTTATAGAGCAATCTAGATGTTGGTCAGCTTGATTTGAGATATTTCTGTAGTTTTGAATAAGGGATCCGGAACAAGTCTGGTCCGAATGAACCGCTTCATGAACGGGTCCAAATCAGATCCGGGCCAAATGAGACGCTTATTGAACGGGTCCAAATCGGATCCGGGCCAAATGAGCCGCTTATTGAACGGGTCCAAATCGGATCCGGGCCAAATGAGACGCTTATTGAACGGGTCCAAATCGGATCCGAGGAAAAATTAACCGCTTATTTAACAGGTCCAAATCGGATCCTGGCGGACAAGCTGCTTCATGAGCAGATACGGGTAGGATCTGGTCTGGATCTTTGATGGTTATCCGTTCCAGATCCGTCCTGCTATGCAAGTGGACTCCAATCCGGACCCGTTTTGTGGATCTGTTCCGGAGCCTATGATACCTCCAAGGCGGTCAGTTTGCTTTTCAATGTGTGGTACACGAGTCTCGATGCATCAAAAATATAAGTTTATTGGAGTATGCGAACATGCTGCTATAATTAAGTTTGGTGATAATATTGTGGTGGAAAATTTGATACCCGCTTTGTGGGAGTCTCTTAGTGCTGAAATTAAAAATATCGAAAAGCAGAAGTTGTCTTTGGAGTATTTATTGTCTGTCGGAGAAGGTTCAATCATCACAAAGAGTGCAAACAGTCTGAGCGAGGAAGAAGCGCGTGCCCAGGGGACACATTTTTATACAGAAAGAGTGCAAGGGTGGGGGCCAATGGCTAATGTTACAGACATTTGGTATCAAACTGCTTGGATGAACAGCAAGATACATTTGAGCACGTACGCTAACACAGTGCACTTCTATTGAGTTCAGAGCAAAAGTACAAGCACTAATTAATTTACACAATATACTAAGTAGAAATATATACTAAGTAGAAATTAACTATTACAAAATGGAAGAGAGAAAACATGAAAATTACTTTTTTGGGAAATTAAAGCGGAAAAAATAGAAAATGTCCCTGAGCACGAGCGGGCACACTATATTCAGCTTCAACCTGAATTGGAGAACTAAGAAAAGGGAAAATGTGTGGGAGCGATAGTATGCAGTAGCTGGGGAAAAATGCACTACGTTTTATTCTCAGTCAGGGAGCAAGCAGGGAACAAATTACATTAAGGAGATTGAAAATGAAAAAGGGGACAGAGTAACAGATTTTGTGGGTATATTGGAGGTGGTAAAGTAACTACAGGAAGCATTTTTAGTGTAGAACCAAACCCTAATGTCAACCAAAAACCACATTGGCGTCTCAGGGAGGAGAGCGGGGCCAGCTCACCTCAAAGAGGGTTTTTAAAAGAGTGCACTGGCACACAGGGCCCATGTGTTGCCAGTGTTGCTAATGAGCTCAGGTGTTTCCACTCTGCTGAAGACCCTCTGCCACGCCCACCTCCAATACCTGCAGGGAAAGCAGCCATACAACTGAAATGTCCTCACAACAGCTCTTTCTCAACATTCAAACCCTTCACACCCTAAACCTAAACTAAATGATAACTCATTTAAAAGCCTGTATCGGCTGTCTGTGACTCAACTTCAAACTTGGAGCTGTATGTTTTGCCATTTTATGTTAATTTAAGTTACTGTTGATTTAGCAGATTATTTTTCCCGTTAACGTTAGCATGCTGCGCTGCTAATATGACTAGCTTTGGTTGTAGGTCCACAGGCTGGAGTAATGTCATAAGGTTGGGTAATACAGTAGCTGTATCCCAATCCAGTGGCCGCATCCTTCGGAGGCTGCATTTATAGACTGATTGGGTCACAGTGTGTTTCAGTATTGACATGAAGGTTAAGGGATAATTTTTGATCTGATTTGTTTGATAATGATGAAGTACATGTACTTAGTTAATTATTATATATACATTATTTATGGTACTTCAATGTGCAAATATTTAGCGTGATTTAAAGATAATGTAGGATTTTTGAGCAAGATGTTGTATTTTATATATTTATTTGCTTTGAACCATAGCAATCGTCATCAATCAACTTCACATAATTTTCTGGCTTAATAAATGGCACAAATTATTGCAATCCCTTTTTTCCTGGTTTGTTTGTGCCTCCATTTAGAACCTTAAATCCATAACGTACATTAATCTGTAAATGGGACAATGGCTCTCTTAAATTAAACAAAACAAAACTAGACCTTGGAAATACACATACTCTCTCTGCAAGAAAACAGTCCAACCTAATCACAAACTTTTATCAATTGGTTTTGTGCTGATTGACATGAGTTGTCAAGTTTTTTCGTGTTGCTCAACGCAACTTTTTTCGTCAGTCAGGAACACATTACGCTACAAAAATAATCAAGGTTTAGTCAACAAAACCACTTAGTTAGGTTAAGTAAAAACATGTTTGGGTTTAAAATAACTATGTGCAGTTAAGTTATGTTAGGCAACAAAAGAGACATTTGGATTCGGCAACAAATTTGGACCTGGTGTTTAAATGGAAAGTCAGGGGATCATCAAAATTGTCACAATTCATCTTGATGGGAGTATAAACCTCTACAACAAATTCCATTACCACCCACTTAATAGTTGCAGAGATATTTCTCTCAAAACTACAAATGTGAACCTTGTGGTGGCTCAAGTGCAAAAGTCAGAGGGTGCCGAAAGTTATCAGGATTCATCCTTTGGGGAAGATAGATATCTGTAACAAATGTCATGGCAATCTATCCAATAATTTAGAATTTTCAGTCTGGACCAAAGTGGCAGATCGACCAATCATGAGACCATTTCTAGAGCCACACAACATATTAACACAATTTATTTATTCATCTTTTGTTTTTCAGCCATTTAATTTAGACGCATTAGTGCTTAGGGATTACGGAGAACTGGAGTCAGTGTTTTCAATAAACATTTACAAAAGCTTCTTCCGACAAAATTGGTTTATTTTAAACACAGTAAATGATGTAAATAAGACTACAAAATGATAAAAATAATTCAGTGACACTAAAAATATCACAGTATGAATGCAAAAAATGTAAAATTAGATGCAAAAAGCATTTTTGTTTTCAATACTTTTTCATTAAAGAAATACAAAGCAAAGCCTTAAAACTGTTTTCAGCTTCTGTAATACTTTAGAAGTTAGACTCCTTTAGACACATACAAAAGTCATACATACACGTCTTATACATGCTTTGCCGTGCCCAGTGAAGTGTAGATTGCATTTTCTAAATCATACAGTATTCATTAATGATAATATAATTCAGGCATGAGGAACGAGTTCCAGTAAATACTGTTCTTGAAATGTTACCCAAATATAATCTCATAATTCTTTATTCTGTAGAAAAGTAATTTGAGCGTTGAGGCGGTACAGATTTGTTCTATACTTATAATATAAGTTAAATATATTCAACTCTAAGAAAACATGGAATGTTCCAGATTGAGCACATTAAGTAGCTGCCTGGCAGGTCAGCATTAAGACCTTAAATGTGGTTAGGGAGAGTTTTATTGTTATCGCTCTGAACAATATATGTTTATTTCCTAAGTACCACATGTATTTTTTAGAACTGAAGTTACATTCATGTTATTTCTATTCTTGATCTGCCTTTGATAATTATGGTGTCCTCTTTTGTTGCCAGGCCACCACATTCTCACTCCAAACTCGTCAAATACCGATAATCAAAAATGAACCAAATAACATGTTCTTATGTGAGTATGTTCAAATAGTGTGTGTTTGAATTATGGGTAATGCCTGCAAAAATACACCAGTGGTGGAAGAAGCACTCAAATACTTAACTGAAGTAAAAGTACTAATACCGTACTGTGAAAATACTCCTCTGTAAGTAAAAGTTCTGCTTTCAAAACCTTACTCACGTAAAAGTATGTATGTATTGTGAGCAATATTTACAAAAAATATCAAAAGTACTCATTGTGCAGAAATGCACGATGACAATTTTCTCAACACATAAAGGAACACTTCATCCTTCAGTTTATAACAAACACTCAAAATCAACCTTTTTTTGTTTTCACTGGACAGGAATTGTTATGTGTATTGTAACTGAAGTACACTACAGCAATGTAGTGGAGTAGAAGTATAACGTTGCACGACATGGAAATGCTAAAGTTAAGTACAAGTACCCTACCTCAAATTTGTACAGAAGTACAGTACTTGAGTAAATGCGGTTAAATTCCACCACTGGTCTTAGGGAGTGGCCTATATGTTGGTCACTAACAGGTCAGTATGTAAATGCTAACATAACTTGATATTGTCCACTGCTGAGTGTGAGACCTGTGTATCATCATTTGAATCTGTGATGTGCAACAGGGCTCTTTGTTAGCCTTTAGGGCTCTCTCTTTCTCCCTGCATGATATTTTCAATTTGTTTCCCCAAGCTGGAGAAACATGGTCGCTCCTCGAAGTCATACGCCCAGCACTGCTTCATCAAACAGTACACCTGGTGTTACAAAAACAAAAAATGTAATAATCGACAGAGCAAATAACTATTGATATTTGTGTGGTATATAGTTCAACTCACCAATGGTGATTTACAGTGAAATTATCATAATGATACAGCATATTTGTTATAGGGGTATGAGAATGCAGGAAAGTGGCAAGGGGAAACATACCTTGGGAGGGCAGTCTGGAGGAGCCGGCAACCTCCAGTTGTTCTTCAGAATGGTTTCCAGATGCATTGATGGACTCTGCACATAGTGTCCAATCTCCTGCATACATAGCTAAAACAGTGACATTAAGGAAACATTTAAAAATGGGAAAAACCACAATGATGAAACAATTATTTTTATAAAATTGAAATATTGTCCATGCATAAATGTATCGACATTAAACCTTCTTACTCTTTTTGGATTGTAGTTTGTGTTGCAGTAGCAGAAAAGCTCGTGAAGAACGACTCCAAAACTCCAGACATCTGACTTGTGGGAAAATATGGATTCGTTGATGGACTCTGGAGCGTACCTGCATTAAATGAGCAGTGTATGGTCAGGTGGACCTCCAGGAACTGAAAACTTAAATATAAGGCTACATTGAGTAGCTGCTTAGTTTAGTGCAAAGACTGGAAACGGGGAACCAGCTAGCCACGTTTTGCAGATTCTGATTCAACAAACAGACGGCTTTCATACAACCCTCCAAAACTGCAGAAAGTCTGCTTTAACACTTTGAATTAAATAATATTTGAGTTTTCAAACATGAGGAACGCTACCAAAAAATGGGGCTCTCTCCAGGCTGCATGACACGGTAGTACTCCTTGTCAAAAGGAATAATCTTGGTCAGCCCAAAATCAGCGATTTTCACCAGCGACTCGCTGGCCACAAGGATATTTCTGGCTGCGAGGTCTCGGTGCACATAACGCAGCGTCTGCAGGTACTCCATCCCCTGTAAAAAGATGTAAACAATAAAATAGAAGAAAATTAAATACATTTTTTCCCTATTATTTCATGCTGTGTAATAAACCTTTGGTACAGGTAGTGAAAATTAAGTTGATTAATGGATTCCCAAGATAGTATAGGCTCATCCTGCAAGGCTTTGAACTCCTTACTGTTGGTTTGAATGTTATGTTTGTAAAGCATGAAAGGTGGTTGAGATTGTTTTCTGGGACATTCCTTTCAAGGAATTACCAAAGCAATTTTCAATTCTTTCAGGATTCAGTCAAATTCCTACATTTCTGCAGAGATACATTTACTGTGGGACTACGTGTGAATTCAAAACAAACACTTTTCTTTTTGCCGATTGAGGCATCCACATTTTCTCGCAATAGTAACATTAGATTGCATGCATGTTTAGAAAATGACTCAAAGTCACAATACTTGAATGATCAATGTAAAAGTTGCAAGATTTTCTCAGCCAATAATTAATCACAATCAATTGAAACGTAGCTTACTCCTACATTTTGTAGGAGTTGAGCTCATATCTGACTCTTACCTTACAGATCTGAGAAGCAAAAAGCAGCATCCGCTTGGTGTTGACATGTCGGTAACTATCCAAGTAGCCAATAAGGCTGCCGTACGGCAGGTACTCCATAACCAAACTCATACTGAGGCGACCTGTGATAAGGCAAACATTAAACATTTAAATCATTCAGCAGAGGAAAACCTTCCAAACCCAGAAGACAAACACTTCTCATTCCTTTAATCAGCCACTCTGGATCGTGTCAGTTTAGGGTTTTGATTTAAAATGTAATCCTGGATCATGAAGAGGACGCGTATACTCTAAAAGTACGAGAAAGAAGAAAATAAGTTAATAAGTTACGTCTCCAGTCTGATCTCGTGCACACAGCTGATAGGTATGTTTACATGATGTAACATAAGTGCATATTTAACTGATTCAGTGTAGAGAGAGAGCATCTGATGTTAGGCGCGATAGTCGAACACTCACATCCAGTTAGGACAGTGTTATGGCTAATGCGTCTCCTTATATTAGAAAATGTGAGCTCACACATTTATTAAATAGGGATCAAAAACGGACTCTTTCCAAACAGAATATATGAAATTAAAAATAGATATTTTAAATCTAAGCAACCTAACTATTTTTTTCCTTGACTTAAGTTGATTATTTTAGTACATTGTGTGCTATGTTTGCAGTGAGTGTTTTTATTACCCGTGCTGTAGCAGACTCCCTTGTATTTGACAATGTAGTCGCACTCAAAAATGCTGAGGATGTTGACCTCCTTCTTGAAGTCCTCCAAGGTCGACTTCTTGTTGGGCTGCAGCTTTTTCACAGCAACCAGCTCACCAGTGTTATCGCCCAGTGGGTCATAACGGCAAAGTTCAACGGTGCCAAAGTTTCCCTGAAAAAGGTTTGAGTAACTTAGTTGTAGCTGACATCTAACTGTAAAGCAAGAAATCTCTGTCTCTCTGTCACTGGGTATGTCTTTGGCATATCTTGAGCCGTTCATCCAATCTACTTCACACTTTGCGTATTGCAGGGAACCGGAAGGACGTGCAGTGTCAAAGTTGGTGCAATTTGGCCAGAAGGTGGTCCTATAACTACAACCTTTCTTTTTTGATCTGGAACGCTGGAACTGTAAAGCTCAGAATAACAAATCCAGACAAATCGAACCATACAAGTCCTGCCAATTTGAGTCTAGATTGATTTTCCGCCATTTAAAATGTTGTAAATCTGTTTTTTCTCTGCTCCTCCTACAAATTTTGAGCAATTGTCCCCAAATTGAGTACAGAACATCTCTGGAGCGAGCCGGGCCCTCAAAAGTTTTCTAAAATGCTGTATTACAAAGAAATATATCACCTGAAGGCAACATTTGGTGGAAATGTGAAGATATGTCGTCTGAGTGACCTTGACAAATTTGTTGCCATTTGGCCAATTGGTGGCACTATCTCAGCATAATCTATTTATAGATGAAGGAACCAATGGGTGATGTCCACTTCTAATATACAGTCTGTGGTCGCCCGCAGCAGGCCTGTACAGGCCGTGGCTCACTAACTGCTGTTCACTTTGCTGCTGGATGCTGGCTATACTAATATTACAACCGATCTCTTTTTCACTTCCCTGGAGTCAGTGAGCGCTTCTCGACAACGCTGCAAACAGGTCTTCCGGTGTCCTAGCAATTAGCCCACTCTGAACAGGCACTTACATCGAATCAGCATAGACTTACTTTCCCCAGAGAGGAGATGAAGCAAAGGTGTCTCTCCTCAAACAAAGTCTGCTCCTGTTGAGCAAGGGCTGAGGTTCTCCGCACAGGGCTCTTTGCAACGGGCTCAGTAGCGTGAAGTATAACATAGTCTGCCATGAAACAAGAAAGCATAAGTGATATTTCTGTTTTTGTTATGTAATTGAATAGCTTCATTCCCTAAAAACACTACCCATTTTTCAAAGGATCAAAGTAAACTGAAAGTTTCTTCTGGGTCAATTTATATTTTCTGTATTTTATTGAACTGAAATAAAGAAAAGAAAACTTGACATTTTTAATGTTAATATGTGGTTTAAACTGGCCATATTCATTATCAGCTAAGTAGTGATACGCATGATTACCTGAAGTGATCAGACTGTTGAGTTGTCGGATGATACTACGACAGGAGGGTCTGAAGTCTGCCTGGTAGTCCATACACTGACTGACAAGTTCGGCTAGCTCCGTCCACTGGGAGGGAGGCAGCTGCTGGGAGCTCTCATAAAACTGCTGCTTCTACAAAAAACACGTCAGTAGCTCACATCATTCACTTGTCTGTTTGCCCAAAAGCTTAGATTGTAAACTGTATGTTTGCTATTGAGAACTTTCCCACAGGTTTAGTCCCATAAGCACTTCACACTTTCAATACAGTTTTCTTTTTCTGAACTAGTACTAGTCACTTAGACTGACATGCAGTTTATTTAAGGGACAGTACTTTGACAACCTGTTACCCTACCAGTTTTTTGACTCATCGGGAAATAAGTGGGAGTACCTTGTCCAAGTCCCACCCTCGCAGTGGAGTGTTGCCACTGTTGAAGATTTCCCACACAGTGGCACCAAAGCTCCACTTATCACAATCCAGAGTCAGGTTGTCCGGGTCGTCCAGCAGTTCAGGGGCCACCCAGGGGATCCTGTCCAGGATCACTAAACAAATGCATATTCACACAAACATGAATAATGCACAAGGGCAAGGTATCATATTTTTGATGTGTTACACTTACAAAGTTATTTTGTTTATGTAATAAAGTCTTATTTCTCATTTGAGGGTTCCTGAATTAATCTTGATGTACAACTTAATTTATCAGATATCTCTTTTCTCTTCTTACTCTTATAATATTTTTTACTACAAATAGACCTGATGGTGGCGGACATGGTTACAGGGGGATTGGAAAACCCTCCTTGATTTACCGTCCTTGCCCAGCATGGGGACACTGATGCCTGGGTCGCTCAGCTTGATGAAAGGAGAACTGCCCTGCGACGGGTCATCTTCTCTGGCCAGCAGCAGATTTTTGGCGCAAATATTTCCATGCACAATGTTCTTTTCTTCCTGCAAGAAAGTTACATGTTGATGTTGACTCATTTACATGTAACTGCATTGTCATTACTTTTGTAAGATCTGGTGTTAATACCCTAAATTGGAGAATTTATCCTACCAAAAAGTTGAGGGCAGACGCAAGCTGTTTGGCAACGTCAAGTTTCCAGCTCACTGACACAGATCTCCTTCTCTTCAAGTAAAGGTCAAGGGCGCCGTACTCAACAAACTCCTGCACCATGATGTCTGTAAGGCACAGTGAGGTTTGTTTCTACAGCTGTACTTCAAACTAAACAACGGGTCAGAAATGCTCACCCACAGACAAGCAACTGAGTCAGAGACAAATGAGGATTTCTTCTGAAGTTTATTATTTTTGCTCGACATGAAGAGAATCATTAATTTATTGTTCTTTGTTGTTTACAGATCAGGAACAAAGCCTGCAAATACTTTCGAACTAAATCAACGTTAACCAAAAACAATTGGATTTCACTCTCACTTTGTACCGATACCTTTACATTATTTACGGAACATTAACACATCTAGAAAACATAAAGAACATTAGCTTCTTGAAGCTGATAGGAAAACAGCAAATGAACTGTAGCAAATAAAGGGATACTGTGGAGGGTTCTGCAGTTTGGTTTGAACTTACTTTTGACTCCATGAACACTAACACCATAGACAAGGAGGAGGTGTTTGTGTGAAATTTGACTCATCAAGCTGGCAGCTTCAAAGAATGACTGAGAGAACGAAAAAAACCAGCATGTGTATTATGTCAAAAGGAATTTCTTATATCTACGAGTAATTCACAAAATAGTTATGAATAATAATACATTTTAATCGGAAGAAACCCACCTCCCAGCAGTTTTTATGAACGACGTCAAGCTGTTTCAGGAACACAGGTGTCACGTGTTTCTCCCCATCACGGATGTCTGTTTTGTAGCCTTTGAAATTTCGAGTGAAGGATCCCTGTCCAAGGCTTTCACCCTAAAATAAAAAACGCATGCAGAAACTGCATTAATAAATACATCAATCATAAATACCATGAAGTACCTTTCATATTAGTTTGACTAACGTATCGTCGTGGTCGCAGTAGTAGCAGCATTTGTCGCATAATAGTAGTTGTTATGGTGGTTGGACTTGTTGGAGCAGCAGTGGTAATAGTGTGGTAGAAAAACTGGAAAAACGCAGTTGTAAAAGTAATGTTGATGCCAATTAAGTGGAAGACTAGTATTGATATTCATATTAGTGGTACTAGAATAACAGGCTTGTTTCAGTTGGAGTCATGTCTTCACACTCACCCATTTCAGGTCTTCATATTTGATCATGTGAAATTGGATGTGACTGAATTTGTTCCTTTGAGGTGTTGGAGACCCTTGAGCTTCTACAGAGCTGCTGTGGCGTATGATGATCAGATTAGTGAGCTCTGTTGGAAAGGCAGAAAACATGTTCACTGTTATCTCGTCTGTGAAGGTTGGAAATCAGAAGGCACATATCTCAGTTCAAGCAAAAAATTTGAAGTGTTAAGTCTAACAGAATTATTAGAGAATGAAGTTATCTTAATATTATTTTTGTATTTGAAAGACTGACATAAGTCAACCTGTGTGTGTGTGTAGGGGCGTATATTTGGTGATTTCATCATATCTTGGAAAACACACCTTTGTGTTGGGGTGGACAGCAGCGGGCCAACTTGACAGGCACTTCAGCCAGTAGAAGCTTGTTGTGTTGGTAATGGCTGATGAGCTCTTTCAAGCTGGTAAATAATTTCTGGACTCCAGGAAGATTGTAATGCTCATTCTTAATTATGAGACAGTCTTTATAGTCAAGTCCAAGTGGAGTCTGCAGAAATATAAATGTTACATCAAACCTTCTTTAATGAAGAGGTTGTTAGAAAGAGTGCAAAAGTAGTTACTGTACAATTTTTAGTCGGGGAAGGGGAACATGAGAATTACTTTTGCAGACATTTGAGTATGCAGAAATTTCTCTCAAGTTTATTTCTGTTCAGAAAAACAAGTCATCTGCATAGAGATAAACTTTTATGAAACAAACTGAGACCTGTGCTTTCTAGAAATGGTACTTGCAATCACAAGTTGTTGTTTATTCAATTAATGTTATTATGCAAAGACTGTCACATACTGAATAGTTAAACGGCATCTTTTTTTGTCATCAGTTCTATGAAGTACTAAAAACATGCACAGACATAACTAGTAAATTACCTCCTCTGAGTAAAATCTAAATCAGTATTTTTCTATGTTGCTTCAACAAGAACCTTTACCTGAACACAAACAGTGAGGAAGAAGTTGTCATAGTTCCTGGGACTCTGCCGGAGAAGGAACTTCCCGCCTTCAAATCCTGACTTTTTCAACTTGTTGACTGCAAACTCTGATCTGATAATACAAGATATAAGGGAAATATCTCAAACAACTGCATGTTAATGGTGGTATTTGATTCAATATTTATCAAAATGACTCACGTGATTGGGCCGTGACAATGGTTTTTGATCCCCTCCAGAACACTTGGAGGGGCAATGTTTTGACAGAAGTAGTGGCTAGAGTCTGTGGTTAGTCTGAAGTAGCCATCAATGAGAGACACAAATGAAAGTGCTTCCTTGAGACTCTGGAAGTTGGCTTCCTGTTGTGGAAATAAAGAATAAATAGACTTAATCTTTTGTATCAAATAAAAACGGTAAAATCTGAAGAACAAAATACAATTAACAGAGAATAATAATTGGGAAAGTGTTGAATGTAAAATATGTCCTTTACCAAGCATCTGTCATCTTTTCGAGTTATTGTCACCATCCTGCTGTCTTGGGGAACTTGCTCATGGCATACCCTCTTTATACCAATGTCGATGATTTCTTTGAAATCACAGAAGGTGTTCCACTCCAAAAAAAACAACAAAAAAATTATTCAACAACATCTCTTAACTTGGGGGTGGGGTGTATGACCACTGGTGAGTGTTGGGTTACATTTTGCATATAGACACTAAATCAAAGACAAAACCTTGGGCTTGCCAGTTTAAAGCAGTGGCACAGTAGCATGAGCCTCCGCAGATGGCATATGAGCTACAAGCACAATCAAAGGCGTTTATCTTCAACGCACTGTTTGTTGCATTATTCTCCGAAATGCCAGTGGGCATAAAATTTAAATGTACTGTGAAAAAGCACGAGGACAATGAGTGTAAACGGCAAAACGCCATAAACCAACCTCTGCAATGCCGTGGAGGAATTATTAACAGTAAACTCATATTTCAGATTCATGGACAACTTTATTGTCTTTATTTAAGCTCTGTAAAATAAAATATTAAATGCATTATAAAGAAATGAAGATTGACTATCATATAAACACTATAATCTGGCTGCAAAATATGTACTCAAATGTATCTTTTAAGACCTCTTGTTTCCAAAGCATTAAAAAATGTATTGGACTTCTTTGTCAAAGTGCTTTTATTGGTGCTTTTATCAGTGAACTATTTGCAAAAAGCTCTGATTATGCGCACCACGCCTAGTTACAAAAATTAAGAAGTGCTCGACCAAGCAGCGCATCAACTCGCAGAGCTTTCGCACACCACGTCGGGATGTGGTTGCGTGATTTTCTGGCTTGCGCACCTTGCGCCGGCATCAGTACGGCGTTTATAAACAAAGCTTAACTAACTACAATGCCTCCTTACCACCCAATCTTAAGTTGAACTTGTTCTTACCAATGCCCCATCGGGATCAGAACTTCCACTGGTTTCAATTCCACTTTCCCAAGTGATCCTTACGAGAGAGAAAGTTGACTGTGATTGGGAGGAAGAAGGATTAACTTGGAAGGTTTCGCTTCCCAGAGAGGGCACGATCCCAGCCAGTTCAATCAGGTACTTCAGCTTCAAGCTGCACTCATCTACCGAGCAGTTGCCAAGCTTCTTTAAGAAACGCTTGAGGGTGTTTCGGATTCGATAACGATACAGGCGGTTTCGTCTCTGAATGTCATGGCGATGTGACATAGGAAGGCATGATTTGTAGCTGAAAGATGAAGACAAGTATGATGTTGTAATGACTGCAATCTACAACAAATCATTTTAATAGAAATGTATGAAAGTCATATTTTTGAAAGAGAAAAATGTTATTCTATAAACTTCTTCGTTGTTGTAAACTTGAAATGGTGATGCCTGGTTTTGGCAAAACATTTTCCAAATGTCAATACCTGACAGTCTTGCAGAGCTCTTTTACGCTCTGATTGCGCTCTTTGGCCATTCTCAACAAGTCCAACACAACAAGGCCAAGGCATTCCTCTTGAGCACTCAAAGGTGGACACACTCCTGCTTCACTTGCAATGAAGTCACTTCGCAACTATGGACCAAAAAAAAAATCAGTGAGGACATACTCTTTGATATATGGTCAATACATGCAACCATTTATGTCATGTACTGTTTTACACTTCCATATTTGAAACAAGTGACACTTTTGATGCATTTTTGTTGCACCATATAAAAGTAAGTTTTTGTACTTTCACTATTTGTAAGGGATTTCAGGAGGATGTCTTGAATATTATGCCAGTGTCTCTAATTGAATGTTAAGATTTACCCAAGCAACTTATGGATAAATGTCAATTAGACACAAAGAAGAATATTGGTGGTATATATCCCAAAGAAAATTACAAATACTGATATAGATATGAAATGTACTAATTTAGAAAACAATATATAATTAAATTATGTATCTCAGAGAGCCAATAAACTAAATGTTTTAAAATGTTTTATACTTCACCTGAGTAAAGAGATAATCAATGACCCCGCCGTCAAACACTGGACTGATTCTGTCTCTGGTCAAACTGTAGCGGTACGATGTTCCTGGTCCTTGTCCAAACCAGTTTCCAAAGAAAAACCTGTACACCAAAAATAAGTCTATTGTACAGCATAACATGACATTATTTCTAACCACTGCGTTAACTTATCAAATTATACATTAGACTTTTTGACTTACATTAAGTTTGCTGGTTTGAACATGATACATAAAATACCTTAACATAGCATAATGTACACTAATTTCTGAAGTTAATGAGCACGATGCTTCAGGTATTTTTCACCTACCTGACTCTAAAGTGAACTTGTACATTTTCTTCTGTGTTGAACATGTGCGATGGAGGATACCAAAATGAGAGATCCGCAGATGCCAAACCAAAAACACTTTGGTACACTGGTAAGATTCCTGGATAGAGAGATCACATATATCATCATAGACCAGTCGATGATATAATGACTACCCTTGTAATTCATTTTTTGCAGTTTTGTGGCGAGAAGCCGTCAGTCAGACCCATGTTTTGCCAGTAAAATCTTACCACATCTTTTGCCTGCTTGGATGCAGACATCTTCGGCAGAGATTTGGCCAGATGAAATGTGTATTGTTGTTGCATCCTTTGTGGCTGGTAGGAAGTAGAGATGTACTTGTAAACTGGGACCATTGCTAGACCTGGACCTCTGGCTGCCGCCCCGGTCTCTGATCACCAGAGGGGCTGACTCCTCCTCACTTAGATCCATGGGTACTTCTGCGGACCAAATCAACAGAGTTGAGAAATAATCATCTAAATAAACATGATGTGTGTTTGCAGCTCTTCACTATTTGTCAGAGTTAAATAGTTTTGATCTACTGGCTACAGTCAGCCAGTAACTATTTGTTGTCTGCGCCAGGGGATCATCAGCTGTGGGTGTGTCCATGATTGGGTGTGCACCTCTGTGTCTGTCCACGGTTAATCTCGCATTCTGCTGCAGCAAACTGCATACTATTTTGGGTGTCCAGTTATTGCTGCATGCTCAAGGACTTCCTATGTTTCCAATGACTCGCACATTCTCAAAACACCCTTTATTGCTTGTTTTATACTTCCATTGACTACCTGCTGACTCCTCACTCACTAATCTTAATCAACCCCCAAGCCAGTAGGGACTCTGCACCCACAGGGGGAGGATAACAATAGCTGGTGTGTTTGGCTAACAACTAACAGAACTACCAGTACACTCGCTGTGCACCTTTCTTGTTAACAATATACTTTTTTGTTTGTTTGTTTGTTTAATTCTTAATTATGGAAAATCAAATACATAATGTAAAAGCTGAAAGCTAAATCAGATGTTCTTGTGTTTCTCATGTCACGGTTTTCCAAATGTTAGTGGTAAAAAAAGTATTAATTAATTAATTAAAGGACAATGTGTATTATCTGGCCAGAGTGTAAAACATTAAAAAAAATAGCTAACATCATCAACAGAAGTTGAAGAGCTGTTGATGTTATGTCAAAAACGTGTATGTATTGTATTGCGATATCTACTGAAATGAACATGCTGACTGACCCATACTGTCCTGTTATACCACTTGTTCCTTGAGAGGCAATGGTAAGTCACTGTAGCTAGTGTCAGCCTTCAGTCCAGAGAACAAAGAGTTAGACCTAACCTGCAGGCTCTCAAAAGTTGAAAGTAATGTTTTAGTAGCATTCTGCAACACTGTAAAAGTCATTGAGGGATTTATTTAAGCATCATTTAGGGTTAGGGTTAGGGTAGACAGGGTTAAGGTAGACAGGTCTGCTGAACTGAAGCAAATTTACATAGTTTTTGTTGTATGACTTGCATTGTTGGTACTTATTGAGATAAGTAAATGTGATTCAGAGTCATGTTCCCCACCCACAATTTACGAGCAAGTCTAAAAAAAAAATAACTTTATGGGATGTATCATAATGTTTACAGTATGTAAAATGTCATGTATAAAATGTTACACATTAGTATATACAAGTTGTTTGTGTTATCATATGTGGAGAATTCCCATGACTTTAAATTATGTTTCAAAATGTCAGATGTAGATTTGTGGGGATTCCCGTTATATCACAACGACAACATTCTGCTGTAGCAGAATCAGGAACACAGTAAACTTCATAATCCACAATAGTGTTTCACATTTCCATTGTTGGCTTTCAAATACTTTACTTTGATAAGAATACAGATCTGATTACTTCCATTTGGCAAATCATTAACACAAACAAAGTTTACATATGAACTATAACAGACGGCAGTAGTTGAATAGAAGTTAAAAAAAATAGCTACAGACGGAGCTAAAACATAGAAGCACATTCTCCACTGTGTATTATGGTTCCTTATGATATATATAAAATGAAACTGACCTTTTACATTTGTACAGCAAACATTTACTTGTCGATCATTTGTTCCTGTAAAACAGGGCTTTCTTCTTTGAATTCTCCGTTTATGCTGTACGTGTGTGTGTGGTGTGTGTGTGCATCTGACAGGAAGTTCAATAGGATTTCCTGATTAACATAAGCACATGCGACACTAACAAGTTTCTTGTCATCTCTGCCGAGCCATTTTCATCCTACTTATTACAAATGACAAAACACTTCACTTCTCAGAATAATTGGATTTTAAATATCAGGGTTTACATTGTGCTATAGATCAAGTGATAATAATACAAATTTGTTTCCACAAAAAATGATAAAGAAAACTGCCACCTAGATTATCTGATTCATTCCTTCAAATTCTGGATAAAGCATGCTTTTGGCTTGCTAATGGTGACTTTGAGGCCAGCTGTGCCTGTCCAATACTTCCACTGCAAGATATGTCAACAACAGCTGATCAGATATTTATGGTTACAACAGTTTTGATTCCTTTCCTTTTGTACCACACTGTGGTCCACACTGCAGTCCATGCGAAGTTTTCTCAAAATCCTAAAGCCAATTTTTCATTCAATTTGCTGCAGATAAGTATGATACTTAGAGCTCTTAATGTTACAATTTTAACCCTACTACAAGGAAGAATAAAAAGAATATAGAAAAACAGAATCAACAGCATTCTTTTCTTCCATTCAACACTTTTATACTGTGGGGTGTATTGATCAACACATCCTCCATGGGGTAGTATAGTGGGAAGAAATCAGTTTGCAACATACACACACATCTTTCATGTCCAGTTACTGAGTCCAAATACATCTTGAATTATTAAAAACTCCTGTCTTTAAATCAACAGTGGTCAGAAAAACTTTCACTAGTGATGATATGGTACATTCAAGGACTGCTTATACAAGGGAAGAGCTTCATTTAAAGTGATTCTAAAGCAAATAGTTCAGCACAGAAATTGACTCATCTGACATTACAGGAAAAGAGAACCAGCTGACAACTGTGGTTTCCCTGTTCAGTCTGCGAGGGGTTTAGCAGTTTCCTGTTGTAGCTGTTAGAAAACCACCTTCTTTAAACTGCTGTTTGTATTACATGTTCCTTTAATTTTTTCTGATCTGTGTGCTTAGGGTCATTGTCTTGTTGGAAGGTGAACCTTCGGCCCAGTCTGAGGTCCAGAGCACTCTGGAAGAGGTTTTCTTCCAGGATATCTCTGTACTTGGCCACATTCATCTTTCCTTCAATTGCAACCAGTCGTCCTGTCACTGCAGCTGAAAAACACCCCCATAGCATGATGCTGCCACCACCATGTTTCACTGTTGGGATTGTATTGGGCAGGTGATGAGCAGTGCCTGGTTTTCTCCACACATACCGCTTAGAATTAACGGCAAAAAGTTCAATCTTGGTCTCATCAGACCAGAGAATCTTATTTCTCATAGTCTGGGAGTCCTTCATGTGTTTTTTGGCAAACTCTATGCGGGCTTTCATATGTCTTGCACTGAGGAGAGGCTTCCGTCGGGCCACTCTGCCATAAAGCCCCGACTGGTGGAGGGCTGCAGTGATAGTTGACTTTGTGGAACTTTCTCCCATCTCCCTACTGCATCTCTGGAGCTCAGCCACAGTGATCTTTGGGTTCTTCTTTACCTCTCTCACCAAGGCTCTTCTTCCACGATTGCTCAGTTTGGCTGGACGGCCGGGTCTAGGAAGAGTTCTGGTCGTCCCAAACTTCTTCCATTTAAGGATTATGGAGGCCACTGTGCTCTTAGGAACCTTGAGTGCTGCAGAAATTCTTTTGTAACCTTGGCCAGATCTGTGCCTTGCCACAATTCTGTCTCTGAGCTCCTTGGGCAGTTCCTTCGACCTCGTGATTTTCATTTGCTCTGACATGCACTGTGAGCTGTAAGGTCTTATATAGACAGGTGTGTGCCTTTCCTAATCACGTCCAATCAGTTTAATTAAACACAGCTGGACTCCAATGAAGGAGTAGAACCATCTCAAGGAGGATCAGAAGAAATGGACAGCATGTGAGTTAAATATGAGTGTCACAGCAAAGGGTCTGAATACTTATGACCATGTGATATTTCAGTTTTTCTTTTTTAATAAATTTGCAAAAATTTCTACATTTCTGTTTTTTTCTGTCAAGATGGGGTGCTGAGTGTACATTAATGAGAAATAAAATGAACTTTTTTGATTTTAGCAAATGGCTGCAATGAAACAAAGAGTGAAAAATTTAAAGGGGTCTGAATACTTTCTGTACCCACTGTATATATATTCAAGATACACATTAAATTATAGTTTCGGTGTTAGCTAGCATCCTGTAAGGAAAACCCTGGTGACTGCAAGGTTTAAAATGTCAGTTCTGCCCTTGCCCAGCCGTGTGCATATGTGGGAGTACAACATGCTAAGGCTTCGCTCATGGACTCAGCGTCCTTTGAGCAAAGAGGATCCTGGAGCACCACATGAGTGTTGGCAGCCTCAAAAGCCCACCTTTGCCTCTCCGACAAAGCCCAGAGAGAAGCGACTAGTACTAGCTGGGAAGAAGGGGTAGAGGACCCCGACACAGAGTTTCCATCGCTGTTCAACCAACTCTTCAACTCAGAAGAAGGAGAAGACGACAAGGACAGGGTTAACCTCCTCGGTGATGAGAATTCGATGGATGATGAAGATGCTATGCAGCTCCATAGGCAGGGAAGTGCAGCCTTCTCTTGCCCCCCACAAAGTCGACCTGCATGAGGTGTATAAACGAGTGGCAACCAGGTTGGCTGTTGACTGGCCCGCATCGTTGAATGACAAAGGGGAGGAGAAGAATATATACAATGGCAGGATCTTGCCTTTCGTCAGGTCCCGATGTATTTGTGTTCAGTTTTGAGTTTCAAACCCCCACGTCCCCTCAATGTCAAAGCTTAAGAATGGCGTTCATGCGCAGTTCACCCTTGGGAGTTTATACTCATTGCCGGGGGTTACAGGTTTCAGATTGAAACAAAACCATCATCTTTCAATGGTTCGTTGTTTTCAGAGGCCAAACAGGAAGCCACAGAGGCTTTGGAGGGCGAACTCTTTTCTCTCTTAATCCGAATTGTGTTGGAGGAGGAAATAAATCTGGGCTTCCACTTTCCACTATGTCCTCATCTCAAAAAGGGAATTTCACTACGTCCAATTCTAGATTTACAGTACATTTCCTAAATTCTCACCTTCTCAAATATAGGTTCAGGATGCTCACACTCGGTGTTCTGTTCCATTCAATTGACCAAACAACTGGTTCACATCAATAGAGCTGCAGGATGCTTATTGTCAAATAAGTTTATATACAATCTGATGCAAGCCACAGGTTTCAGAGTGCTCCCGTAACTGGTCGATCTTCTCCTCTGCGCCATGTAGCATGGAGGAAGCGGAGAGAGACAAGCAGGGGTTTGAACTTCAGTGTCAATTGTTGTGGAAATGTATCATATTGTTCTTTTAGATATAACTAGTATCGCTTAAACCTGCATACATGCAGACGACGCCAACTAGACTCATTTAAACCCAAATAATAAATGTTATCATATCTAAGGCATATCATGTATGGCTTGCTATGACGTCATCCTGATCTCACCACTTAACCCTCTTCCCACGAAAATACAATACCAAGGCTGGGAACCTGCTCCCTGCATTACCTACCATGACACCACGTCAGAAACCAAACCTGTGTCTTTGACGTCATCATGTACAGATGGAAAAAAATGGGGCCCAGGACTAAACCTTGGGACAAACAAGACATATTGTTTTATTCAGAACAGAACTTCCCCAAAGAAACAAAGTAGTCTTTACTTGTTGGATAATACCTAAACCATGTCTAGAGAGCACAACCCATAGTTCTAACCTTTCTATGAAGAGCTCTTGTCTTGAATTGAATGCAGCGCTGCATCTCAGTGCTGCATTGAATGCAGCACTGAGATAAAGAGATGAGTAGATATTTACATGGTTTCCAAATATATAATGATATCATTCAGTTGGAGGAGAGATCAACCTGTGCTCATTTTGATCAGATGCCGGACTGAAGTGTAGCTATCATAAGCTTCATTGCTGAAGAAGATCTAGATGGAAATTAAAATATATTAGTATTACTAAAATATTCATGTTGCTGGCATCTAGAGTTACTTCAGAAGAGTTGGTCCTAGCAGTCTTGAAAGCCACAGGAAAACAACCAATGTGAGGGGAGAGATTAATCATGTGCAAATAGCTCTACTGAGCAGTCAAAGACCTTCAGAAAGCTGCTTGGCATGGGGTCAAGGACAGATTGAAGATACGATAATAGACTTAAGATAAGATAATAGATAACTACTCAGAGCAAATCATCACCAACAGGCGCAAAATTATCGGATTAGCCACGCGTACAATTTAGCCTAAAGGCAGTAGGGGTGAGAAGCCCTTTCATCTTGTTTTCTCCTGTTCATCTGTTAGGGAGGTAGGTAAGGTGCCTGTATTTATTTTTTTGTTTATTTTGTGAATAGTTAAGTTAGAATATTCAGAAAGATTGATCTGTTTATTGTTATGGGTGAGGCTCACCCTGACGCCTATTGCTACCACAACACTAATGTGCATTGTGACATCAGTTAGTCCACTTTCTGCACCATCCAAATCATGGGACTCTGAGAACATGGGGTCAATGCTGCTGTTGTATTTTATTTCATATAATTACTTCTGTCAATCAACATTTTAAAAGATAAGCATGCATTCTAAAGGTCATTGAATCACTTTGCCTTTTTTTCAGCAAAAATGTAATGATTTCTCCGTTTCCAGCTCCTTAAATGAATACTTTCATGTTTTCTGTGATGGGTAGGCTAGAATGAACATCTTGTATTCAGACAAAACAATATGTATACTGTACCTATATTTTGTGGACTAAACAATTATTGATTCATCAAGAAAGTAATCATCAGATTAATACAAATAGGACTACTATTACATGGTAAGAAGTCTTTAGACTCAGTCGTAGTTTTAAACACAGTAACAGACAGAATCATATTTTAGAATAATAATTACCCTCTCATTTTTCCTCTCTTCCCCACCTCAATTTTCTATCCATCCATCTCATAAGTACACACACACAACAGCAACCGTGTTAACGTAAACAGTCGCCCGCGCACACACACACACACACACACACAGCGATCATGCGCTGCAGAAAAGCACCAGTATTTTGCGTTTGATCATGCACTGTAAAGATCTGACTGTGCAACTTATTTTGTCCTTTTACCACACACCTGAGTGGCTTTTATAGGGGTAGACGATAAGGGAACATGTACGCACGCCTCACGCAAGCGCGCACTCTGCTTTAAATAGGGTGTTTTGTAGGCGCTCTCAGCAAGGATCGGTACATACATACCGATGAACACAGTGGCATCCCACTCCAGGGATCGGTAAATACCGCTGAACAACAGCATACTATCGGCCACCTTTCGATCTCGGCGCTACTGCATCTTTTTCACTGAGTGGAAGCAATGGGACAGATAGTAGCACCAATGGTGAGTCTCTTGAATTTTTTTTTTAATGCAGAATTATTGAGTGTTGACACTAGTTATTTACTGCAACTCTAATAACTCAAAGAAGAACCCGATGTGTAACGTACCACATTTTATTTAGATTATTCACAGTAATGTGCCTTCTAGAACTACATTTTTACTTAATGGAAATATGTTGTGGTCGGAGCATACTTAACTTCATTTTCCCTAGTTAAATTATACCTTTATTCATGCTTGGAAAAATATGGAGATCTTTTCGATTTATTTTTTATATTTATAATTGAAAAAAACCCAAAAGTAATCATCCAGTATACATTTTGATGACAATAAATAAATGTAACTAAATTTTCATATAAAAAATCTCCACAGGACTCTCATTCTCTCACACACACACACACACACACACACACACACACACACACACACACACACACACACACACACACACACAAAATAAGCTTTTTTAAAATTCATTTTAAAAGTTCTTTTTTTTTAACTTCATAACAGTAAAATCACCAGTAATACTGACAATTGTTACACCCAGTGATACCCGACTTTTGCATTTTACCACAAATTAGTGTGGCAAGTTATCACATTTAAGATTTAGAAATCCTAAAGTTATCACTAAGAATAAATTACATAAATGCCTTGTGTCAGTCAATGTATGGTCACTACTTGACTCTAATTCACAGATCAGCTAAACATCTGGATCCACCAAATTACAAGTCAGAGGGCATTAAAGTAAAAATAATGGAGGAGCAGTCTGCAGGCTTCATCTTGGCCGACTACGCAGTCTTTTCTTCCATGCTGTTGGTCTCTATGTCCATCGGACTCTTCCAGGCCCTGAAGAAGAGGCCAGGGGACGCCACTGCTGATGACTTCTTCACCGGGGGTCGGAGCATGCCGGCAGTGCCTGTTGGGCTGTCGCTCTGTGCCAGTTTTATGTCAGCAGTCCAGGTTCTTGGTGTGCCCTCCGAGGCGTCTCGCTATGGCTTTAAATTCCTCTACATGTGCCTCGGACAAAGCATCAGTTCCCTGCTGACAGCTTACCTTTTCCTGCCAGTTTTCTTTCGACTGGGAATCACCAGCACCAATCAGGTCATAATGAGCTTCCAGTTATTACCCCAGTTTTAGTCATGAATTGAGGGGGAGCATAATGTAAACAACGTGGTATATTTCACTTTCATGTAACCTGTTTGCAAAGGTCTAAAGATTTAAATTTGTATTTATTTAGATATGATGTATTCTTTTTTGATGGGAGTAATTGTAGAATCTGGACCAAACTGTATAAATATTCTCAGGAGAATAATATAAGAAAGCGGTTTGATTTAACTGTTTAAAAAAAGCTGAACACAAATACCAGTATGAGTAAGTGTTTCTAACCAATCATAGATAGACAGATGGATTTTTCTGTCAACATTTTAAAATTCACCTGTGGGTCTGATGTGTGGGATGAATATAAGAGGTGAGGAAGGATGAGGAATGTGTGCAGAGATACTGAGCTGTGTTGTAACTGTTGCCATCTGCCGGTCACAGTATCTGAAGATGAGATTTGGCAGAGGGATGCAGCTGTTGGGGAGTATCCAGTTTCTGGTGGCAACGGTATGACAGACATTGCTGTGTTTTCTAATATCAAAGTTGTGTTCAGTGTTTTAAAGAGGATGTCACATTTTTCACACACACACATGGTCTTTCATTTGCACAAACTGAAACCTCACAAAAGTTGTCACTGTATTTGTTGATTTCCTTGTTTTTTCCCAGCTGCTTTACACAGGGATTGTCATCTATGCACCTGCCTTGATCCTTAACCAAGGTAGGAAAGATCAGCTGATACTCCTCTCTCTGTATGCATTGATAGGATGTTTTTAGTAATTTTACATTTTGATTATTCTCATATTCTCACAATTGTTTGTATTTAGTTGATCTTTCTCCATGATTTTTAAAATTTCTCCATGAATTCACCACTTTATCACAGGTAGAAATGTATTTCTTGTCAGAGATTCCCTCCATTTTTTACTAACAACACCCTGCCAAGGTTAACCTGTGGTGAAATGTTGTGTTTTTCCCTCCACTAGACCTACATATATTTTTGACAGATTTAGATTTAGATTTACACTTTGTTGAGTCAGAATTTCAATACAAATTATAATCAACTAATAAATTGGGATGTATGGAATAAGCCACCAGCATCGTATAAATTAGTTTAAATTAGTTCCACATTTACCAGCTACAACAGTAGTGACTTTACTCATTAATGCATCACACTATTTAACCTTGTTACAGCTTCATCTAAATAGTGAGCATATTGGATGTAGAATGTTTAAATAACCATGCTGCAGGGAGGACAATGTTTTATAAATGTCAAACTTTTCAAGAGGAGGCTTTCGAAATCACACATTTTGAGAAATCGAATCAAAAATATTCATCAAAGTGTGGTGAATTTAATGCTACCAACATGGGCCCAATATACCTGAGATCTCAGGGGACAATACATTTATTTGGCCTTTACACAGTTTGACTTTCTTGGATGGTCATTTGTTGCTCATTTGTATTTTTAAAATTTTTTTGTAAAAGCCATCCTCAGCCAAGAGCCTGTTTCAGATGGTCTGCCATGGTGGACGCCTGTAAATATAGTATTAAAAAGAAATATTATCAGGAAAGGATGAATGTCCATCAAGGGTTTGATATATCTTTACGTACAGTATAATGGCAATTTCAGCAATTTCATGACATACACAACTAAGGATAAACATAGGGTAGCCTCTCTATATTACACAGAATCATACTGTATAAAACTCTGGCTGTATGTAAGTTTCGTTTTATATAAAGCGAGGTGATCGAGCTGACAAAATCAACGTGAGGCTTCACACTGACTACATATTTTGCAAGTACTTGTACTACTCAATAAAGCAAACTAAAATTTGCACCATTATATTCATTTTATGCTGTTCACTGCGGAATATAGGTTGCAAGCTTGTAGCGTTAGCATGTTGACTTGCACTGCAGTGTGGACCAACAGTAAACATAAACGTGCTGCCAGACTATTTTCACCGCATGTGAGTGTGTATAATGTTAGCTTGCTATGTTATAGGGCCCATGTTGGTTCCTTAAATGTGGTGTTTAAAGCATAATTTGGTAGTAATGGTAGAATAGTGTCTGACTAGTGGATGTGACACGGCATTGTATAAGATTTCATATAATCTAAAATGTGTCATTATGTAATAGGATCTCCTATTTGGTTTCTAATTAGAATATAATTTGGTATAATAGTGTCGTAGCCTACCTTGGCTTTAATTTAGGTGTATGGTGTCTAAGTAGGGTATGTTCATTTACTGTCAAGAACATGTTATGTCTAGTTTTGATCTAATTTGATACAAAGCAGGGCTTGTTACGTTTTATTAGTGTACTGCAAAATAAGTACAAGATGGTACATTAACTGTATATTCTATATTAACACTGTTTTTTTTTTTTTAAGCTACTGGACTCAATATGTGGGTGTCTCTGTTTTCTACTGGGATTATTTGCACACTGTACACCACGCTGGTAAGGAAGTATTTTTTTCCATCTCATCAAACCTACCTGGTTCTTAGCTAGATGCTCTTAAAGAGACAGGACTGGTTTCTGTTGGGATTTAAAGAAGACTGGCAGGAGTCCCATCCTTTTAATATAGGTGCCACATTTGCAGTAATTTTGTCACTTCAGCCACTGGAGGCAAGGCAACTTTATTTATGGAGCACATTTCAAAAGAACAACAAGTCCTTCTTCTCCTATGATTAAAATTGATTTATTGTCTGTAGTTTCAATACGTTTCATCCAAAGTGTTTGTTGGACGGTTGAATGGTGTTTGAAACCCCCTTTCAACTCAGACAATATTGGGATCTTTCAAAAACAAATACGACAAGCACGCCTGCTTCAATTTGGTGAATGTGAAAAAGTAGTTGTGCAGTATAGTTTTTTAACGTCTTTCTCAAGTTCTTAATGCACAGACTTCTATGTAAACATTGAAACTAGTGGAACAGAAGAATACATTTTGCCCTTAATTTGTTTTTTTTAAATGTTTCATGTATTGTGGTGGGTTTTCCTGTCTGTCTCTTACATCCTCTGTCTGTAACAGGGTGGCATGAAAGCTGTGATCTGGACTGATGTGTTCCAGATTATAGTCATGTTGGCTGGCTTCGTGGCCATTTTCATCCACGGTACAGTTCTGGTTGGTGGTCCTGCAATGGTGCTGGAAATCGCCAGAAATGGATCACGCATTAATTTCAATGAGTAAAAAACACTGTTTATTTTGTTTCCCTTCCATTTCAACGCATGAATATCTGGATAACCCCACATTACTGTCTGAACACATTAAGATGCTCACATCATAGAATATTACCATATTCCTACTGCAGTTCCTTGCCAGTCGTATCAAGTACCTTTTGATAATGATGCTTACATTTTGGATTATTTCAGGCTGATATGAAAAATGAAAAACAGGAAATACTACATGTTACTCCTGGTAAAAGTATACTTACAGTTAAGCACAAAAGTGAATTCCTGACCTGGGAAACAGACGGTTGACAAAAGCAATCTTAACTCAAGGTCCACTCACCAGGTTTTCTTGAGCTTTCAACCACCTTTCACTTTCTTCTTGGTGGAGAGAGTTTGCTCCAGTTGTCGTCGCGGCACTGAAATCCCATACTAAAATCCAGTGAAGACAACTGAGCAAAACATATCAGGTGCTTTTACATGGGGGAGAAATTGTAAATCCATGACATGCTGTTAAAAAAAAGTTAGTAAGTGGACCTGGATTTAAGATTTTTTTTTTTTTGTCAAACTATACCTGAACTTAAACTCCAGATGTTTTAATGAAAAGGGCCTGTGAAGTGTGGAATGTTACTGATTTGTTTGATAATATTTTGCAACAGTTTTAGCGTTGACCCACGGCAGCGCTATAGTTTTTGGAGCCTGTCTGTCGGAGGTGCATCGGTTTGGCTGTCCATGTACGGGGTAAACCAAGCTCAAGTCCAGCGCTACATCTCCTGCAGAACAGAAAAAGATGCCCAGTGGTGAGTGGAGACCTGTTTGTCATTCACATAATTATTAGGTGTTTAGAACAGCAATTTAAAAGGTTTCATGAATTTCATTTAGGTTATTAAGTTCATGGATTGTGGATAACAACAATGTAGCATCTGTGAAGTCACCTTCTGGTTTCCAAAGAGACATTTTAAGGATTTGTATTGGATTAAACATCAAAAAGTATTGTGACACGCATCTACCACACGTCACCAATATTCCTGACAATAACAGAAATGTTATTTTTGGTAAAAGTTTGGGTAAAAGGTGTAACTTTAACAGCCAATGTTGTAGAGCAAGGTTTCATTATTTACACAGGTCATATATCAGCTGTTTGTTTTAGGTCAACATTAATTTCCTGAAGGTAAAAAGACCAATTAACTCCAAGTGATATTCCTTGTCAGGTAGTTCTCTCAAGGGTATTTCTCAATATACCTTTTATATTATCATAAATTGTTGCATTGCAAATAATCATCAGAGATTTGATATTTTATTTTTAGTGTCTTTTCTAAAATGTTCATGAAGATATTCCTCTGTAAGATTATTCATAAATGGTTTAATTAATTAATTAATGTTGACAGTCAAGCCTTTAATTTACATGCAAGGCATCAATGAGCATCTAATTCCTCCCAAAATCATACAGCCCTTCAGGTTTCACAAAAGTGCTTGCAATTATAGATTGTATAATAATAAAACCATCATCAGGCAAATCTAAAGTTGTATCTTTCCCACACAAGTGAGTAGTGAATATGCAGAAGTCCAACAATGAAGCTGGGTCACTATAATGATGTTTGCTCTTGATTACAGGGCGCTGCTTGTGAATCAAGTGGGTCTGTGCCTCATCGTGAGCAGTGCAGCAACATGCGGCATCGTCATGTTTGCTTATTACATCAACTGTGATCCACTGATGTCTGGGAGAATTTCTGCTCCGGATCTGGTACTCAAGACACTCATATTGACCCAAGATGACAAAAGCATGACGCTGTGTAGGGTTAAAAGCTATTGAAAGAGAAACATCTGTATGTATAAGAAGTTTGACTTCGCTACTTAATGTGCTACGACACTGCAGATGTTTGCTTAGGCTAATTACCACACCGTGCTTTGATGTGACTAAGGAAAACGTATTAGTGTGGATGTAGGTCAAACAGCAAGCTAAGGTGTGTTTTATAGATGAACTCAGGAGAAGCCTTCTGTTGGTTGATGACTCGAGACTTTGAAAAAACATTTAATTTACTAAATTAATTTGATTTGATTCAATTAACAACAACTGGAAATAATAAATGTTTCTAACATAGATTGTTCTTTCTTCCCGTTTCCCTCTCTCTCTCCCTCTCTCTCTCTCTCTCGTCTGATGAAGTACATGGCCTACTTTGTGTTGGACATATTCAGAAATCACCCTGGATTTCCAGGTCTCTTCCTTGCCTGTGCATACAGCGGAACGCTGAGGTATTCAATCTTGGATTCTCTAAACTAAATTTATGACAAATCTCCCCCTTTAAAGGGCCAGTGTGTAGCATTAGGATGAACGTGAACGATCGTCCAAAAGCTTTTTTTTGTAAAGTTCTCCGCCCGCTGAGACAAAGCAGTCAGGTGGACAGAAGACATGGGAAGTGACTGATTCTGACGGATGTATGAGTTCTTCATTCTTTATAAACTTCACTCAGAAATGTTATTTATTTTATTGACATTTGACATTGTTTCCTGTGCAATATGAATTACTTTATATTGGGACTTTGCATAACTGTTGCTGCTCTAGAAACAATATTTAGCTATATATTATAAATTACTTCTAATTCTTTTCTGAATTTTATTTAAAACAATTATTCAGCCATGTAGAATTGATAAGAATAGCCCCTAGTCGTACTAAAATCCTAAAGATATCCATACCTGTAGGTCACAGTAGTTTTCCAACACCCTTGGAAAGGGAGGGGGGAGCGGAGGGGTATTTAATTATTTGCAACCTGCCATAAACCACTAGATGGCACTAGAACTGTTCCATTTTTGAGAACCAGTGGTGGAAAGTAACCATGTACATTTACTCAAGGACTGTTCTTAAGTATATTTTTCGTACTTGAGTATTTTCTGCAACTTTATACGTTCTATTCCATTTATATTTCAGAGGGAAATATTGTACTCTGTACTCCATCACATTTATTTGACAGCTATAGTTACTTATTGAACAAGTACTTTTACTTTTGATTCTTTGTGTAGATGGTAACAAAAGAAAAATGGCCTTTCAACCATTTTAGATCACATCCCCGGGTCATATTGTGCACCTATTAACAATATTCAAAAAGGAATTGTGTTTTTATATCAGAATCCATCTTTTCTTTCTGTAAAACAAAATATGTCATGCGCTTACGTAAGCAAGTACTGACCAATTTCAACCAATTATACATACACCCATCGATTAGTCTGCCACTTTTAGCGACAATGGAGGTGTGTGTGGCACCACAGTCCTCTGTAGCTTGGTATCGAGCTACATTCTGAGCCTGTTCACTTTTTAGCGGTGCAATAAAATGCAAAGAATTTAACTTAAATTCCTCTTGTAACTATATACACCGCTCAAATATTCAGTCACAGACAGTACAGAAGCTGACGACACTTTAGTCCTTAGTGGCTGTGATAGTCACAAGAAAGAGTACTAATAGTGTGTAAACATGGCCAGTGAGCTGCTGTTGTGGGATATTTGGTGACCACGTGTCTTTTTCACAGCACGGCCTCTACAAGTATCAATGCAATGGCTGCAGTAACAATGGAGGATCTGCTGAGGCCTCGTCTGCGCCTCATGACCCAGAAGAAATTGATACTCATTTCGAAAGGACTGTGTAGGTCAATCCTCACCGAAAACATCCACTTATGAATTGTTTTACCCTTGCATGTATTCTTAAAACCACTATTCTTTTAAAACCAACTGACAATCATACGAGGCAGAAAACTCACTTGATTTACATTGGCACCTACTGTCACTTCTTGGAGTACAAATCATGTTTTATCAATATTTAATCACATGTCATATTTAACATCGACCCAGTAATAGATGATACTACTTTCTGTGGTTGTATTTTGGAACCTTGGGGAATTTTCTTCTCTTTTTCTTCTCTTAAGCGTTCCTGTACGGAGTTAGTTGTATCACAGTAGCTGCTCTCTCTTCTCTCCTGGACTGGGGAGTTCTTCAGGTATAATACCTAAATATTACTATCCACTATCACATGATATTTAATATATATATATGACTATTATAGTAAATGCGCAATAGTTCTGAACTGAACTACAGTATAAGATTGACTTTGTTTTTTCTAATAAAGTCTCCAGAACTGCCTTTGTCTTTCCTATTCAGGGATCGTTCACAGTAATGGGTGTGGTCAGTGGTCCAATACTGGGTGTATTCATTTTGGGGATGTTTGTCCCAGCAGCAAACAGGCTGGTGAGTGGATTGATTTTTCCCTGTGTTGTGCACCGTAGTTCATTTGTTTATTCTCTTATTCAGGAAAACCTATAATAAATATGGGCATACCTTGAATCATTGATCTCAGTAAAAGCCAGTGTTTTTAGATTGAGCTTTAAAAGGATGTTGTGGAAAGTTTGGTTTCTCTTTTCTCAGACACACGCTTTCTCGCATGGTAAATCACAAATGAGATTGGGTTTTTTCTATCAGTGCTTACAGCCTCGCTCCCTCCTCTCTGCCGATGCCACTTGTTTATAATAGTGCAGTAGCTACAATATGATTGTGTTGCCCTACGACTCATTATAAAAGAAGAATGCAACACTGACCAGAGCGTTTGAAATGATGGCGTTATTTTACTAAACTCTAAATTAATTCCTGATTGTTTCACAAACTGGAATCGTTTAAACGCATTAATGTAAACTCCTCCACTTTGTGTTATTACTGCACCACTTCTATATTATTATGAACACTTTTAGGCCAAACAGGGCTTCTATCTAAGCTATGCACTTTCCATGTTATTATTTTTTTTACTGTCAATACCTCTTACTGTTTAAGAGCATCACTGTTTAGAATCGAACAAAACTATTTATAAACATTAACTTCAAACCACCTTGAGACAGCTTTCAGAGATCTCACTGTATGTGTCGGGGCAATTTTTACATTGTCAAGAAACAGTTATAATGGAAATCAGTTTTACCACCGCAGTCTGTGTTATCAACAGCAAGAAGTCATTTTATGACGGCTTTCACCTCCGTTAGATGTTACTGATTTTATGATTTTATATTGGGTGCTCTATATTTGTATGATAGTATACAATATAATAAAGTGAGTTATCTTTATTGAAATCCAACTTTTAAGAAAGGACAGGCAGACCACCTCAAGGTGTCACTGAGACAGAACCAGGACATTCTGATGTAGTATTTCAAAATTAAAGCCCTTCAAAATCTCATTCGTGAGCTAACTTCAAATCACATTCATGAGACAATTTGTCTAAATTCAGATTAGATTTTAGAGGAAATGGTATTATATATATATATATATATATATATATATATATATATATATATATATAATGAAGTCCAACTAATGTGTGGCATCCTGTTTGCCTCAAATTGCCCCACGTCTTTTGTTAAAAGTTGTACTTGGTCTTTCAGGGGGCGTTCTCAGGAATCATCGTGGGCTTCTGTGTCTCTCTGTGGCTGGCTGTTGGTTCAACTCTTTACCCTCCCAGTGAGGAGACCATGGGTGTGCTGCCCTTCTACACAGGCGGGTGTGGACCCAGCAACATCACCCTGAACAGCAGCCGTCCCCAGGACCAACACTCCATCTCCACGCTACCTTACCCCGATGACCAGGGGTCAGTGAGTTCAGCAAGGCCTGCACTGACACAGAATGTTTTTCCCCACATGGTTTACATTGGTTAAAGATGGATGGAGAACAGCATCTATAATTACAATTTATTTGTACTAAAATGAATACAAATATAATTAATGAATGATTTCATTGAAGGAGCAATATACGACATTCACAGCATTATAGCAGCACCACCTATAAGTGTAGTGTAGTAAATAAAAAAAGCAACTCAGGCTGTCATTAAACTAGATTTGTGTTCCAACAATAAAACTTTCTTTTCTGAAACCAGGGGCTTGCTTGACTTCTACTCCCTGTCCTACCTCTACTTTGGTCCCATGGCAACTTTTTCGGTCATTCTAGTCGGGCTGATAGTGAGCTATGCAACAGGTAAGAAGATAAAAAGCCACACAAGGACACATTCAGAACTGCTGTTTAAATATATGACACCGAGTTGCCAGTATTTTAGATATACAACCGACGCCATCCAACACAAGTTTCTGTGCAATCCAACCTTCTAATGTTCCATTTTATGATACTATATCAAAGAGATGTGATTCAACTCTGTTGACACTTCTGTCTGTTGTTATTTGTGGTGACATTACATTACATTTTTCTTGTTTTTCTCTACACACAGGACCAACAAAGAGGATTGATATTAAAGAGGGCTTGTTGTGGTGGGATCTGGACAAAAAGCAAGTAGAGGTCCTATCAAAGCACAGAGTAAGTACGAACTATATCACAAGCTTGTGACTTTGGTGCCCATTGTTTTACTTGAGTAGATACACCTTCAGAATGTAGAAACATGAGGATAAAGTTGAACAGGATGAACCAGACATCTTAATAAATACAAGATATTATCTTCTTTTTTTTTTAAATCTTGGCTAGGTAACACACTGGATTGTTAACTTATGGATTCACATTTTTCTGTATGGAGTGGGCATGCTTTCATCTTAATGAAGGGTTTTGTTCCAATAAGTTATAGATCCATTTTGTAAATTGCACAATGAAATGAATCCCTGCTAAGACTGTAACACCTGTATTTTGTTAATAGATCATTTGCGTGTATAATTGTGGATGTATTGACTGGCTGTGTTTGTTTAAGACTGGAACAATGTCCAGAATGTTTCCCTGTCTTCTGCACAATGCATGCTGGGATACGCTGCAGCCGCCTGTGGGTCTGAATGAAGCAATAACCAGGTAAAGAAATGAATAAATATGTTATTACTTAACAAAATAAATTGGTCTTTTTTTGCAGGGAGATGAGGTAACAGATAAACCACAGCTTGTGCCTTTGATGGAGATGCATAAAGAAGAAACGAAAGAAGAACCACTCTGAGTTTAAGTGTTGAACAGCTTTTTAAAAATTCCAAATAGCACTAATGGGAGGTTATCGTCTCCAGTGGCAGTAAGCATTTTATCACAACTCCTAATTCCTTAAGTTGTGTCTCTTTCTAAGTCTGCTCCACATTTGGTGCTATGTTTAATCAAAACAAAATCCTTCAAATGTTATTGGATAATGACAGTCTTTATTTTCGTGACAAGGAAGGTATAGACTCTAATCAAAAACCCTCAGGTTTTATTTGAATTCCTGTAATGCCGAAAGTCTCTTTCATCACAATAGTCATTCTGGTATGTTCCATATCTGGAGCAATGCACACCTGCACTTCAACCAGTGTGAATGGATATGTGACGGGTGGCCTGGGGTAAACTGTGGGTGTGTGCATTACCAGATATTCAACTCTTGTTTCATGTTCAAGCTCATGTCCTTACATAACTTTTAATGTCCTCTTAAATAGACAGTAAAGGGAGAGTCTTTTTTCTTTACATACAAAATGGAAGATCTATTTTGCCTGTGATGCCTGGTATGGCTTTCCATGTAAATCACATTTATCCTATAATTGCCGCAGTTGCCGCCGTTTAGCAAAAGTTATATCGGCCGGTTTCAACTAATGTACACTCCCAAGTACAACTACCAGTGGTATTAGCAGTTTTCAACACCTTTAATCTATTCCAAGGTTTTATAGTACATGCCTAAAGCACAACTTATATAACAACAATAAATGAAATTATTGTTATTATCTACATTACAAGCTTTTTTTCATCTGTGACTCATGAAAAAAGTCCCCAGTATCCTAGAAATTGGCAATTAATGTTAGTAATACACTGGGTCTAAACCATTGTCTGTGAGTGTGTTGGGTAAAATAGTGGCACTACTGAGATAATGATAGCCTGTTGAAACTTTGCTATCCGGCTCTTCAAAGGCCTGTGGAGGCTTTCTGGACACCTCCATTGGTAGACAGTTCATCAAGTGTTTCAGTTCGGTATCAGTAGGGAGGAGCCAGTGATGTGAATTTGTAATCAGTCAGAATCACATAATTTATAGAATTCATAGAAATGACAGAAATAGGGAGATGACCTAGAGATTGAGCTAAGAACAATTTCTGTGGTTTTAGGTGAAAATAAGTATGAGTAACAATAATAATGAGGACAACAAACAACAACCATAATCATAATAATTATTAATATAACAATAATAATAACCCCAGTAGTAATATTAATAATAACACATAGAAGAAGAATTATTGGAATAATAATGATATTATAGACAGTGGTGGAAGGTGACTACATACATTTACTCAAGAATCAAGTATAGTTCTACATAGTACTAGTACTTTAGTACAACTTTAATGTACTTGAGTTCTTTCATGTTAAGGTACTTTGATACTTATAAATACATTAAAATGAATCCCGCCTTGACAACAGACAGCTGTTTAATAATTATATATATATATATATATATATATATATATATATATATATATATATATATTGGTGAAGGTTAACAAGTCGTATTACTGTTAATATGTAGATTTTTAATGTGCCTATATTTTTATGGGTATGTTCTCAAAATACTGTTTAATTTCTATTTTAAATTGAAATATTGTACTTATTTTATTTGTATTGTCTCTCTTTCCATTATAAGTCGTAATAAATCTTTCTGATGTTGAAAATATGGTCACGTCTTTGGAGAGTTTTTATTCATGTTCAAACGGTTTTGACCATACATTTCTAAGTTGTAGATTTAGGCTTAAAGAAAGTAACTTGAGCTTTAGGTGCTTCATATTATCTTATATTTTTGGAAAATAACCATACTTTTACTGAAGTAGAATGGTCTGCATACCATTTCTTAATTTAGTCTCTCAATTTCAGTTCTCATTTTAAGGCCCTTCATAAGAAGCTATCCTGCCATTGATAATGGTATTAAGGTGTGCTACAGTAGGCTATATTTTGGTGTATACCGACACCTGCTGATGATAGAATGTCACTTCAAAATTGAAATGCACACACATGGCTGCCACACGTCCATTATGGCTGCCAGATACATGTAACCAATAAGTACAAAAGCGATTCACATCACATGGTGGTCATTTATTGCATTTTCTTAATCGTTCACTCATCCTCATAATACAAAAGTAAGCATAACATTTCCAGACACTCGATCTTCCAGAATAAATCGGTAGATCTCACTGAAATAATTTCTTTATTGTTGTGGGATTGTGCTTCCGTGCACATTGGTCCTGAATCCCTCAAACACCTCCATGTTGCCTCTGCTGCTCTTCCCCAGCCCGGTGCCTCACCACTCATCTGCGGCCCTGTTAGAGTCCTCGTCCGCTACTGCACAGTCCAGGCGCTGAACACCGGGAAGCGCCAGGTCCCTTTCGTTAAGCTTCTCCAGAAACGAGGAGAGCAGCCGTTTGTTTAAATGGTCCGTCAGGGTCCTTTCCTCTTCGACCCGCTCATTGGCAACAGTTCCATCCGAATCCACATCATCCGCCTCGGTGTCCGCGCTGAGCTGCGGAGGGGCCGACTGGTGGTTCAAGGACAAGCCGTTCGACTGCTCGTCCTCCCCGGACTGCTGCTCCGTGCACCTCCCGGCGTCCGCTCCGGATTCCGTCTCCATCTGTGATATTAAAGTGGTTTGCAGGGCGGCATTCTCCAGCTGTTTAAGGCGTTTACTGTGGAGGCCGCAGGCAGGAGGTTCATTTCCAGTCGCGTTGTTGTTGTTGTGAGGTGGCTCACCAGTTTGCTCCATCATGCTCTGCGTCAGGAGTGCAGCCCACAGATATGAAAGGTTTAGGTGGCGCAGACTGGGAGGTGTCGCCTCCCTGTGCCCACACATATTACTGCACCATCACCGGACACCCTGCAGCTCTGTGCCAGTGTGAGAAAGTGGTAAAAAAGTATTCCTTTACTCAGTTAAAAGTTGCAATACCATAATTTCAATATACTACATTAAAAGTACGAGTTCATGTGTGCAAAGTAAAAGTTAATTAAAAGTACAGAAATATAAGCAACATGCTATTTTAAGCAGTGGTGGGATGTGCATTTAGTAGGCCTGTTATTAAATACACTTTGAGGTACTTGTACTTCACTTGAGTATTTCCATGTTATGTTACTTCTACTGCATTTTGGAGGCAAATACTGTTATGTTAACTGCATGTATCTACGCTTTCCAGAGTGAGGTTATAAAAACAAAATGTAATAAAACTAATAAAGTAATTAAAATTAGTTGCGAAAATAGTGGTGATTTACAGATTAATGCATCAATAATTATAATCCAATAAATTAACATTTATCATTCTCAAATATGACCATTCTACATAATGAGTACTTTTTTTTAGTGGTTTAAGAAATACTCATTAAACAGCTGTTTGTTGTCAAGGCGGGATTCGTTTTAATGTATTTATAAGTATCAAAGTACCTTAACATGAAAGAACTCAAGTACATTAAAGTTGTACTGAAGTACTGTAGAACTATACTTGATTCTTGAGTAAATGTATGTAGTCACCTTCCACCACTGTCTATATTATCATTATTATTACAATAATTCTTCTTCTATGTGTTATTATTAATATTATTATTACTACTGTGGTTATTATTATTGTTATATTAATAATTATTATTATTATAATCATGATTATGGTTGTTGTTGTTTGTTGTCCTCATTATTATTATTACTAATACTTATTTTCACCTAAAATCACGGAAATTATTCTCAATCTCTAGGTCATCTCCCTATTTCTGTCATTTCTATGAATTCTATAATTCACAATTTCTGTGTATGTTTGACTACTTTGGGAAGTGGCTTTACAACAAACTTTATCACAACTAAATACCAACATCTTTTTTTGTTGGTCTTCATTTAAAACAAAAAAGGAACATCAATAAGCATGTGCAGACACAGTGTAAACTGTGTGCTGGACCAAAAGAAGATCATATATAAAATCATATTTTCATTGCACCCTTGGGAAATCCATTTAGTCAATTAAAGTCAATTTACTTATCCCTATACCCAAATCAGCATAAGTAAAAATATGCAAATGTTCCTGATGCCACTGTAAATAAAACAGATAATATATCGTCTTTTGGACCACGTTGACTTCAGTAGAACCAGAATATACATTCATTAAGTCTTCGATCTACGTCATGAAGCAATGAGCAGTCTTATATCGTGCAGGACATTTACACAGAAAAGACAAGAAATGATGACACAAACTACGGAAAAGAGTGGGGCTAGAGGACAACGTATATGTGTATATGTATATGTATATGTTTATGTGTATGTGTATATGTAAATGTAAATGTATATGTTTATGTGTGTAATGTATATGTGGACACAGTGCACAAGGGAGGAAGTAGGTATTTAGTTTTTCAAGGACGACTGGACTGGACTGAGCATGCCGAGAGAGGCTGAAACCTGAGGGTGGCAGTAATGCAACATTGTGAATGCTTACTGCCGTAAAACATCATAGAAGAAGAAGAAGAAGAAGAAGAAGAATATGTTTCCATAGCGACCATCAATGGTGGAGGCGAATGGCCACCTAGCTCAGATACAACGACAGGAAACAACTCCATCATCGGGCCTAGAAACACCATATGATGCATTTGCTAAATCAGATATTTCAGAAGTTTAATCTCTAGTTACAGGCTGACCTGCAGTTAACAACCAGCGACACCAAGTTTTAGCTCTTTGCTAACGTTAGCATCTAGCCACAAGCTAGCCAGGGTATCTATTGTAAACTCTGGGGTCAGGGTTTGTAGTCTAGTCGTGTCAGATGTATTCAGCGTTATATACCGTTGGCTAAATCCAAATGTGTCTCGGAGGACTTGGCGGTCTGGTCAGCACAACTACGACGCCCTCGATCCTTATCTAAGTCTAACACAAACGGATACGCAGAGTCAGTAGCTTAAGGTTGACTGTAAATAACTCCGCATCCTCTCTCCTTTGCTGCTAGAGGAGGAACCAGTGCATATTCTGCTTCACGGGGCTTTTAAAATGTCCTTCAGAGACTTAAGAAGTAAGTGATTGAATGCAGTTAACATTATAGCACTTTGCTGAAAATCTGTGCTTTATGTCTGCACTTGTGTTTGTGACTGGAGTTGAATTTGATTTTGACAGATTTCACGGAAATGATGAGGGCCTTGGGCTATCATCGGTTGATATCCATGGAAAACTTCAGAACACCAAACTTCACTTTAGTGGCAGAAATCCTAATATGGCTTGTGAAGAGGTATGTTAAGACTACACACTACTGATCCATCAAGAAGTAACAACTTAATCATCTTAA